ACTCACACACACACACACACAATATTGAGTACGTGTGTCTATGTACGTGTGTATTTGTTTTTGTTTTTTTGTTTTGTGTGTGTATTCGTGTGTGTTTGTGTAATTTCGGATCGTTTTTCTCAACGATTGTACTGATTTGTTTGTAACTGGTCAAGGGCAGAGCTGAAATTTTATGAAGGTAGTTTGAGAGTCTGTTGTTGAATGCTAACTTCAGAAGGAAATGAACCAAAAAAGACTGATCAGTTCCATTTAAGATATTCGAGAAAGAGGCCAACTTTTAAAGAAATATCAAATTTATTGCTTTATAAACAATGCTTTTCGGACTTTGACGCTTTCAAATCATTTTTTTTGTCGTGTTTTTTTTTCAAAAATGACTTCTTTGCTGTGGTGACCATGAGGTGGCAAGCGTTTTTCTGAAACTGCGTGAACGACAAACTTGAAATTTGGCACAAAGGTGCAGCATAATCTTTCTTGTGCTCATAGCAGGGATTTTTCGCAATATGGATTACTTTTTTAAATATTCCTGATTTTTTATCATTGTACTCGTGCTTTTCGGAAGTCCCCCTGCGATATATGGATATTTTTCTTATTTTTCATGTTAGGAAAAAATCATTTCCTGTGATAACAGATAATGTATTTGTGTATTTGTGTGTCAAGTTTGGGCTTAAATTCCTTTATTTCTGCAGAAAACGTCTGCCACGGCAACATGACCAAAAATCCAAGATGGCCGCCAGAGAGGCCATTTTTTCATAAAACTAAAAAAGATTCCGTCATCATTCTTCTAATTAAATCGTAACTAACTTATAGATCTATCTCTTGAAAAAAAAACGGAAAGAAAGTCAAACCCCTAGAAAATTTCTCGTATCATGTACATCGCCCCTTAAAACAGCCAGTCCTCAAGATTTTTCTTACTTCAGTTTTAGCAAGTTTAATGGAACTTGCAACACAATAAAGCCATATAAGTGCAGAAGATTTGGTGGTGGGGTGTTACAAAAGAGTAACAAAAACAATAAAGAATGGGGAGAGATGAGGACGATAGAAGGAGCAAACGACACCTGAGCACCCACCTACTGCTCACGAAGACACTTTGAATGTGTGTGTTGAATAAGTTAACCAATTATAACTGTGTGGGTTTTTTTTTACATAAGGCTTTTAGAATTGGACAGCTCAATGGTATACACTGAACACTAGTAATTATTTCTGTTGTCTATCTATCTATCTATCTATCTATCTATCTATCTATCTATCTATCTATCTATCGATCGATCGATCAATCCATCTATCTATCTGTCTGTC